CCCCGTACTCTGTAAGTTATTATAAAGTACCTGGTAACTGAAGAACAATGGTGGAAGCAAGCAGAAATTGGTAGGTATGGAATAAGGACAAAATAGTGTTACTGGGAAGGAGCTGACTCATCTATTAGAACACTGGTAAAATATTAGGAAAATAGTGTCACTTTCTCATTTATTTTTGTACAAATTGAAAATGCCATAGTTTTGTCATTACTTGCCAGTTGATGTCTTATATCTTAACTTTTTCTTCAAACCTCAACCTGTCTGTGGAATGAAATAGGTCCAGCTTACAGAACAGTTTTCAAAGCTTTCAGTTTGTGTATTTTAATTTTGGAAATCCTAGTTAATATGGAATAAACATAGTCTTATGAAAGAAATCTGTCAAAAAGCAAATTGCCTTTAAAGCCAAGTTTTGTTGCATTTCCCATGAATCTTATTTTAAAATTCCAAGGCCAAGGTGGGTTTCTCTCTGTTTTTCTTATTGTTTCCAAAGAGTCAAGAATCTCTAGTTCTCTGTTGTTCTGTACAGGTCTTTGTAGTGTTTGGCTATCAGCTTGCTCCAAAATCTTTGGCAATCATTTAATGCCACGTACTGTGCAGTGTTGGAACACTCATGCAAGATGGTGGACTGATTCACACAACATGCTAAATCATTGTTTAATGATAGATAATTAAGTGTACCACAATTGGCTAGGTTCATACAATATGCTGACATAAACCATGGTTTATAAGTCAGAATGGTTGGGTGTAACACATTAAGCCAAACCTAAACAAACTACATTCTGGATTAGCTGGTATGTACACTCAACCTATGATTACAGAGATTTGGGTTCCAATCTCCCTCCCAGATTCAAATATCATCCAGGGGGGAAATGTGCATTGAATTCTGAAAGAAGATTGGTATTTAAACTTGCTTTATTTTTATTTTTCTATTCTATACCTCCCTCTGAAGCCTACAAACTAAACTACAGTTAGTGAGGATTTTTTGGGGGGGGGATGGAAACAAACTTTATAAATGCTTATGAAAGCAATATTAGCTCAGATCTACCATGTGTTATTTAACTAGCACCTTTGGTTCTATGTGTGCAATCCTAGACTGCATGAATTTAAGCTTCCTCTTCCTTCATATGCTTGAGCAAAAGGGCGTCAAACCTTTCTCCCCACTGACTGTGAGCTGGAGGAAAAACTGTTGCTCCTGTGCTTTTAACAGCTTTTTAATGTTTAAGAAATTGTCATAGCTATATAAAGCAAGATCACCTGCCCTTGCGCACAACCTTAATTGTGAATATGGTGACAATTGTTAATAGGATGCTAATGAGAAGTAACACCCATTTTAAGAAACCCTGAGACTGCACTTTAAATATATCCTCTATAGAAGAGAAGAGCGTGGGGTTAAGAAAGAAAGTAGGTTTTGTTTATTAAGCAAATCTTTCATTCCATTTTAATTTAGAAGAGCATTTACCCAACCTTGAATGATCTTAAGAAGTTAAGCTGGGTCAGACCTAATCAGGTCTGGCTGAGAAAACTTCACTACTGTAAATCTTAGGGCCGAAGAGTTGAGAAATACTGTGGAAGAAGGTCACTTCCATATTGTGGCCTAAAGCTCTAAATTGACTGTCAAGGAACTCAAGCTCAAACTGAAGATTTATTTTTGTAATCTACAAGAGGAAAGTTGTTTTACTGTCAGTGGCCATCAGATGGAGAAATATATTCTAAAACTGACATTAGTTTGATATAAATTTACAAGAAAAAAATTCCCACGTATTTATGTTCTGTACCTATTTGTTTGTTAGTTATTTCTGTAGTTTAGCCTGTTTCTTTTTCTCAGAGAATTCAGTGTGTAGTAATGTATTCCGGTGATATTTCTCAATATTTTGCACCTTTATAAGGATTTTAAAGCTTAGTCACTTTGGGGATAAATAAACCAAGCAATGAAACATAATAAAAGTAATTATAGATAACATTCCAAACAAATAGATCAAATATAGCAATTATTCAACATCTCATTTCTTAGTAGTACCATTGATCAAAAATTATTTTATGCAGTTATGAAACTAGATGCTTAGCAAGCTAAGCTGATGATCTGCAAAGGGAGCCCAGTAATTGTTTACTTTGTACAGCTCCACAAATAAACAACAATAGAGCCATATCCATTCCACTGTCACATTAATTCATGTAGCATATTCAAATTTAGAGTAGGTAATTGATTGAGAGAGATTTCCTGCACTGTTGGGGGAGAATAGTATATACAGTAGATATATATGGTCTGATTACATGATTAAGCTTGCACTTCCCTAAAATAGACATGCTAGCTTAACTAAAGATTTCTGGATCTTTCTCAAACCCATTAAATCTCTGCAGCAAATTAGTAATTATGTAATTATAACACATCATTACAGACACACTTATATATATTAAAATATGATTATGGAAAACACCTTGAGTATATCTGAAGACAAATGAATGCATTGATTTAATACACTGTTAGACAGAAAGTTAAATGAGGCGTAAATATCTTCATTTTAGAAATATTTGCATTTTAGAAATTAACCATTGGATGGACAGAGAGAAAAACATGTGTGAAAGTGTGCATATAGAAGTTAGAAAGCACAGACTGGCAATGTTATTCAGTGATTAGAGTATGCCATTCAAATATGGGAGAGTTGAGTAGATAAATGTCACAGCTCAGCCTAGTTCTCTGGGTAGCCTCAATTTTCTATATGTAAAATAGCTTGAAGAAGGCTGGGTGTCTCCAGCAGATTTTTCAGAATAAATCATTATATCACCCTGTAAGATCCTTATATTCAGGGCAGTTTGCACTGTGTGTTTGTATCCTAATGCAGGAAAAGTTAAAGAAAAATCTCAAGTCTTTCATAAAAATATTATTAGGAAACCTGAATGGAAGGAAAAAAACCCCAGATAATTAAACACTTGTCCTTAACTTATTTTCTGGCAGAAGGACGCCCTTTTTTTTTTTTGCTCCTATGTCCAGTTTGAGCTAGAAAGTTGATAGGGCAAATCAATGTAGGGCAACCAAATTGTTCATCTGGCTACCAAGCTAAGTGATCCGGGAGCTTCTGCAGCATCATAGCTGATGCTAGGTGTGCCACTCCATCGATGCACTTAAAAATATTTTGGCCCGAACATGGCTTATTTAAGCTAGCAGCCAATTTAGGATTGGCCAGACCAGACCCAAGAGGACTAGATGGTGAAAGAATAACCAACTTTACATACCGCTTTAAGCCATGCCGTGTTTAATAATGGTATCTTGAATAAAAGCTACAGTTGGCTGGCTTCACTGAACACAGCCATAAGTTTACACACTAAGTGGCTGGGTTCATAATGTCATTCAGATGACATTAGTAGAGTAAGGCAGCTCCTGTGTTCCTAACCCAGCAGTTTGTGTTAAAAATAAGCCATTATAGACCCTGGAGGAGGGGTATGGAGGAACTCACCTTCCACACGTTCGGAGCCTTCTGAGATCTGGCAAGAAAGGAGCAGCAGCAGCAGCAGGGAGGCAAACCCAGACATGGTGTTAGAAAGACCCAAGAAGTTTCTTGGGGATCCTCAGCGTGGGGGGTGGGAGGGAAGGAGGGACTGCTTTCCCAGGGTGAGAAGTGGGGCACAGCGATCAGGGCCAGTGCTATGGAAGGAAGGGGAGACAGGAAAGGGGCAGAGACCCAAGATTCCTGGGTGCTCTAGGGATTGATCTGGGATTCTCTTCTGAAGGGTGAGGAGCAGAAAATCTCTGCCCTACAGGCTGGGACAACCCTATAAAAGCCTGGCTGGGATTCTCCCTTGGGACTATATATCCATCTCTTCAGCCCTGCAGCCAAAGTTATTCATTAATAAGGCCAGCAGAGTGCCCTGCCAAAGGGCAGGCTGGCTTCCCCACTTGTCACCAGGAACTCTGAACTCGAAAACAGGGATCAGGATGTGGTGATGGGCCCAGGAGTCCATCTCCTCCATTAATTGTGTTCACCCCCCACCTGTCCCATTGTTCCCAGCCAACCCAGAACTCCCTGACCCTCCTCCGCATCCCGGTCCCTTGCGCAGATGTTCCTAATTCTGCTCCTTCTGCCATCTCCTTCAGGAGATACTCTTCCTTTCTCCACCACCTTGCTTTTGACCCATCTACTGATCTGTCTTTCACCGTGCCCTGAAAGGATGGGCTTTGTGTTTCGGGTGGGTGGCTGAGCGGGCAGGAGAAATCTCTAGCAGGGAGAGGGCTGGGAGCCTGGGGTCTCTAAGGAGACCCAGCGCAACGGAAAGACAACCGAGAAAGGGGCGTGCGTGTGCGTGTGCGCCTGTGTGTGTGTCCTGCTGGCTCCTTGGAGAAAGAAATGCCTTGCGCTTCCTCTTTAAACTCTAACTCCTCCTTCCCAGCCTCAGCCTCCCCCATCCAAATCTCCCTCAGCAAGAAGGAGCGCCCCAGCCGAAGCCACAACCTGTTTCTCTCCCGCGCTCAGAGCCGCTTCCCTGCCGTTCCGCACCTGCCGCCGTTTTCTCCTTCTGCCCCTTGTTCTCTTCTCCTTTCCTTCCTTCCTTCCTTCCTTCCTTCCTTCCTTCCTTCCACCCCATTCCCCACTTCCTTGCTCTTCTGTCCATTGCTCTCTTCATCTCCCATCCCTTCCTCCGCGTCTCTGGCTTTTTCCATCCATCCCTCCAGTCCTCCACCCCTGCCTTCCTCTTCTTCCCTTCTTTGCAATCTCTCCCTCTCTCTCGGCCAAGCAGCCATTCATCTTCCGTCCGTCCCCTTTTCCTGCCCTTCATCGACCCACATCTCCCGTTCCCATTTCCCTCCTTTGGGCGGTGGGTCCCCCCCTTCCCCCTCCTGCCCTCCGTTTCTCCCGCACCCCCTTGCCTTTGTGGGTCGGGGCAGTGGGGCTTCCCGCAGGGGGCACCATGGCGCTCCTGAGCTCCCCCACCGAGACCGAGTGCCTAACCAAGCCGCTTTTCTGCCGCAAGGGGGCGCTCCGCCAGAAGGTCATCCACGAGGTGAAGAGCCACAAGTTCACCGCCCGCTTCTTCAAACAGCCCACCTTCTGCAGCCACTGCACGGACTTCATCTGGTGAGAGAGACTGAGCCTCTAATCCCCCCCACCCCCGATTTGCCCTGACCCTTGTGGCCCCTTTCCCACTGTCCCGGCTCGTATTCTCCAACCCTGTTGTGGCTGGGACATTATTCCTTTGCAAAAAGCTGTCTTACATTCATGTTCTTTCATTCCCTTCAGATGCTGGAAAAGTGCAGAAATGGGTAATAGATGCAGAATTTAGCAGGCTGGCCATTCTACTCTCACTTATAGATTTATTTATTGATGTATGCATGTGTGCCTGTGCACGTGTTTTAAGTAAGTTTCTAGTCCTCTTTATGGAGGGCCAACCTTGCTGAAATCTTAAATCAGAAGAAGGTTTGGTTTTTTTAAAAAAAGAGGTGAGGTGGTTGTGCTTCTGTGGGTGTGTAATTTTGTGATAACAAATTAAAAACTGCAATAAATGATGCAAGAAAATGCAGAATTTGGTCAAGTCACAGATTCTGCTGCTCCTTGCTGGAGAATTTAGAAAATGCCAGCACAGAAGGATTTACTTGCTATCCATGCTGAATTATCCAGGGGTCTCTCTATGAGTGCTTCCAGTTACACAGCTCCTAACACTGTCAGCCGAAAGATGTTGAGCGGTGATATTGTCTTTCCATCCTTACAAGATTTTCTGTAGGGATGACAGAATAATATAGAAAAACATGGGAGGTTTGCAAGAGGAAAACAAGCCATCTTAGCTGCCCTGTAAAATTCTATGAATAAGGCAAGAGGTTTGCGCTTAAGGTACATGTTGCTGATAAGGGGAACTTACTGTGTTAATATGTTGCCTCTACTGATCATGCCAAGCCCCAAACTGATGGCTTCATGCATGTAAGTACAGTAAGTCATTTGTCTCTTCCTTCCTTTCTTCCTTAGGTGCCTCTCACCTTGTCATCCTGTTATTCCACTATGTTTTTCTGTAGCTCCATATATTTTGCGGGGTAACCTGGTAGTTTAAAACCTATAACTCTGCTGCTCTAAGTCTGTTACTTTTAACCTCCTTATCTTGCCTCTTGAGGCTTCTGTTCTTCAAATCATAATTCCATATTTCCATTTCTGTTCCAGTCGGCAATTCTACTTCATTGACCCAATAATCCTATTTACTGTACTTTATTCTGATAGTCCCCCAAACCTGGTGATACATTTGGCCCTGCTTCTCTCCCGTAATCTGTGGCCATACCTAATCCAGGTTGATCCCATCCATGATTTCAGTTTAAATCCTTATAGACTGAGCTAAGTACGTCCTTGGCTTCAATCACAGTTCTGCCTTCTGGAAACTAATTCTGTAACAGACTTGGAAAGTATACCAGAATATATTATGCAGATTAAGACAATTTGTGTAAGATGCTTGGCTCTGGATACTTCATCTTATTTCCCATGATTCAAGCACTAGATATTTCTGGTTATTTTTCTGCTTAGAATGCTATCTTCCATGTTATCCTCCATTTTATCCAACGGTATGTAGTTCTGGGGCTGATAAGCACAATGTGAGGCAGTGGGACTGATATTTTTTTAACTTGTCAGCTGATGAACTAGAGATCCATTAAATGCTTTCATGGAGAAGATCATACAGAATCTCAAGGGGCTTTTTGAAATCACAGTAAGAGTATGGGCACCTTTTCATTGGGAAAAATGATATACAACGAACCTAACCTCCTAAATATGAAATAGGGAGCTAGAATCCAGGTCCTTACTTCCTGATGATCTGTGTATCCCTTTATACTCCATTCCTACATGGCAATTCCAGCTTTCAAAGTGGGTGTGACAGATAAAATAAGAAGGCTATGCTGTATGCAGAGAACAATGTGACCTGATTATACCTTCCTCCACGGGCCATCCCTTGGACAGCATATCTGCAGTGGGAAATTGTTTCCAGAATCCAGCATGTCCTTGAATTCTCCCCGCCCCCCCCCCCCCCCC